GAGGAGTTGAGTGTCTGCCCCCTGGTGGTCAGTGCACGTCACAGCTACCGGTGGAACTGTCGCTTAGGCTTTTATACATATAGATAATAATTATAACAGGCAAAGATCTCACATGGGCAAAAGTGATGCCATCAAAATATCGATTTACACAAACAGCACAAATAAATGTTAAAAAGACAGCTAGTTAGGAAATATCGAGTATATTCCTGAGCCTCTGTAACGTATAGGCTCGGATCAGTTCCTGACTCCTGGGGAAATCGTCTCAGATCTCAGACCCGTCCTCCCTCGGTAGCTCTTGAACAACTCACGTCACAAACTCTCAGGTGCCCTCAGCTCCCTGGCCCGTCTGCTGCCCAGGCTGCGGAGGGGGAACAGCCATGCGCCCCGCGGCCCAAAGGGGGACCAGTAACATTGAGGCATATCCTTCTAGCAGGCTTCTCATGTGGAATTTGGAAGTCTCCTGAAAACATCGTCCTACCCTGGCCGGTGAGCTAAGTGGTTAGAGCGTGCCCATGCACCAAAGGGTTGCAGATCTGATTCCCTGTCAAGGGCACTTACCTGGGTTGCAGGTTCAATACTGTGCCCATGTCAGGGCATGTGGGGAAGCAATCAATCAATGTTTCTCTCTCACATCAATGTTTCCCTCTCTCTCTCTCTCTCTCTCTCTCTCCTCCCGCCTCCCTCCCACTGTTTCTAAAAAATCAATGAAAACATATCCTCAGGTGAAGATCAACCAAAAATAAAAGAAAACATTAAGTCCCGACCAGAAATCTGGACCTGATCGCCCTCCGTTTCCCAGAGACGGGGAAACTGGTATTCAAGTGCCAACACGTCTCGTCGGGTTTCCCGGGGAAATGAAGTTGAAAAACCAGCCTCTGGAGCAGCTCAGTGTCGGGGCTGCATCTTCATTTCAAAAGGAATCATCTCTCTTCTCGTATTCAAGTGCCAACACGTCTCGTCGGGTTTCCCGGGAGAAATGAAGTTGAAAAACCAGCCTTTGGAGCAGCTCAGTGTCAGGGCTGCATCTTCATTTCAAAAGGAATCATCTCTCTTGTCGCTAATTAGGCAGCATTTTTGATGCAAGTCCTCTGACCCACACGTGCTAGCCTGCTGCAGCCGAGTTCTGTGTTCTTATCGGGTTTGTTTTTTTACATGTTTTTACTCATTTCAGAGAGAGGGAAATGCTGTGGCTCAGTGATTGAGCATCGACCTATGAACCAGGAGGTCACGGTTCAATTCCCGGTCAGGGCACAGGCCCGGGTTGCGGGCTCGATCCCCAGTAGGGGGCGTGCAGGAGGCAGCCGATCCATGAGTCTCTCTCCTCATTGATGTTTTTCTCTCTCTCCCTCTCCCTTCCTCCCTGAAATCAATTTTAAAAATATATTTAAAGAATGGTGTGGTGAGCCGAGTGTAGGAAATATTATCCAAATATCTTGTCTGTGTATTTCATGGAACATTCAGGAACACTCCCGCTCTGTAAGAACGCAACGGACACGCACCGGTCGATGAAGTAGCCGATGACGGCGCCCTCCGAGGTCGTGTTGGGCGGCTTCCAGGTGACGATGACGTAATCTCGGTTGGCATCATGGCACCGCACATCCATGGGCGCGCCCGGAGCCCCTGTGACCAGCGGGTCCGCATCTGGTGGGGGGAAGGGCAGAGGAGCGGTGACCTGTGATGAGAGTCCCTGGCGGGGACATTCTAAAGCCCGTTGAGCCCGGCCAGTGTGGCTCAGTGGCTGAAGGTCGACCTATGAACCAGGAGGTCACGGTTTGGTTCCTGGTCAGGGCACATGCCCAGGCTGCGGGCTCCATCCCCAGTGGAGGGCATGCAGGAGGCAGCCGGTCAATGATTCTCTCTCATCATTGATGTTTCTCTCTCTCCCTCTCCCTTCCTGTCTGAAATCAATAAAAACATAATAAAAAGAGAATAAAAAAGCCCGATGACAACTTCACCAAACTCAGACGCCCAGCTGCCCAACGGGGCCCCTGTGGAACCCTCACACCCAATGGCTGAGCGTCGCTGACTGTGACCGATGGGGGACAGGCGATGTCTACACACTTAGGCGTTCTTTAACGCAGCACCTTCTGTCTGTCCTCTGTAACATGCTCAACTCTATGAGTTTTCGTGACTGGATCCAGAACAGAGGTTCGCTGCCCCTGGAAGGCACGCTGCCACACGATGTCGTGCTGTCAAAATTCAGGGGACAGCCCGGGCCGGCGTGGCTCAGTGGTTAGAGCATCCGGTTCGATTCCCATCAAGGGCACATATCTGGGTTGCAGGTTCTATCCCCAGCCCCAGGCGGGTTGTGTGCGGAAAGCAACCAGTCAATGTGTCTCTCTCACATTAATATTTCTCTCTACCTCCTCCCCCTCCCTTCCACTCTCTCTAAAAAGCAATGGGGGAAATATCCTTGGGTGAGGATTAAAGAAAAAAAATGGCCCTGGCCAGTTTGGCTCAGTGGATAGAGCGTCGGTCTGCGGGCCCAGGGGTCCCGGGTTCGATTCTGGTCAAGGGCACGTACCTCGGTTGCAGGTTCCTCCCCAGCCCGGGGCCCTGGTCAGGGCTCGGGCAGGAGGCAACCAATCGATGTGTTTCTCTCACATCGATGTTTCTCTCTGTCTTTCCCTCTCTCTTCCACTCTCTCTAAAAACACAAAAAAAGAAAAGAAAAAAATTTCACAGAAGAAACAATAGCAACAATGTGGCCTTTTAGCACCTGGGAAACGTGAGGGTGGAGGGTGGATGCTTTGACATTTCAAAGTCCCTAGAGAATATGACACTTGGAGTTGTCTGCAGCAAGCTATGAGCCAGTGTTTGGGCCGCATGTTTCTCTCTCGATCATCCGCTCGATCATCCGCTCGATCATCCCGCTGGTGGCGCCCACCGTGCAGGGGGGGCCGCTCTGAAGCTGAACAACGGCGGCGGGACCCACAGAGCCGCCCAGACCTCGGTGCCGAGTCCACTTCCTCGTCTAAAACCCGAGCCCGTCGGAACCTTGGCTGCGACCACCCTGAGTGGCACGGGACCTGCTCCGTCCCCAGCAACTAGAAGCTGAGGGCTTCTTGACACGGAGCCGACTATCTCAACCCCCTGCAAAGCTCGGGAAGCCATGGGACAGTGGACCATCGCCCCGCCCTGCCCGCCTGCCTGCATCTCCC